CCCCCCCCCCCCCCCCCCACACACACACACACACACAAAGAGCATTTCACTCAAGCTGCGGACCCGGAAAGGCTTGTCGTTTAACAAGTAATACAATGTGGACTGGGAACGCTCGTCGTTTAACATGCAGTACTAATGTGGATAAGAACCTACGGCGTGCAAAATGTTACAAAATTGAATAATGGTAAGATATATGGCAACGCTGAATGCCGAGGTGTTGTTTTGAAGGTTTATCTTATTTACATTGTTCACACTCCTAAACCAGACACTAACTTTTCAGATCTAATCATTGTAGAATCGATCATATGATACCTCCAACATGCAACCATAGATCCTACACAGTTTCGAAGAAACTTAATCATTTAACGGAGACGAGATATGTGTGTTAACAAGGAGTTATAACTCCTTGGTGTTAACAAGTGTTGTCAATTGTTCAGTTGCTGAGTTGGACAATATGAAACAATTATCATAAGAGAAGTCATTAAGGAGTGTGGCAGTAATCTTGGGGGAGGGTTTCATGTATCAACAAAAAATGACAATCGGTCAGTCATAATAGGGCCTATTTGCCCCTGATCACACAAAAATAAATATGCTGTTGAAATAATATCGGGCAATTCGTAGGCATGTGCATTCCTTTTCATATTTATCTTTCAGTCTTACCTGTAAGCTTCAGTATTTTCAACTTTATTCTATATTTTTCCGTTTCTGCCTTGACTATTCTCGAAGGGTTCAGCATTAAAACAATAACATGAGTTATTAACACATCATTAATACAAGTTATGATCAATTTAATTACAAAATACTGCAAGGGTTTTCTTATTCAATTTTTTTCATCTCCTTGAAAGATTTCAGCAGTTGAAAGAGGTTGAAATGATGCACGGATGTATCCCTAATGTCTCGCGGTGTATATAAAATGTACCAGTGCTAGCATATAATCTTATCTTTGTATAGTTGAATTTCGTTTCCATACAAATGCCTAGAACATGATCTTTTAATCTATCAGAGGTTCTAGTTTTACACAGCCACGACAAAAATAATTGACAGGCCACGCAGTTGTAAGGCAATACAGATTATTATCTTTTAAGAAAAACATGCTGATGGATATATATATTAATAATA